CCTGGTGGCTATTTTGACGTCATTTTGGCTTATCTTTATATCTGCCATAACTTACTTTTCCTTTCACTTCAAAGGGTTTTCTCTTAGTTTTGTCCAGACTTAGTGTCCGCAATTCCTGCTATAATTTCTAAAATGGCAGTTCATGAACTAAGTTTAACCTTTTCCGTACAATGGTACCTTATAAAATTTAGAAAGTAAAATTAAATTATTTAATCTTCTCTGTCACAAATGTCTGGGTTTAGAATTGATCTATTCCATTAGCATTTAGACAGTCTGTCCAAACCCCGTTCTCCTTATCACTTGGTTTGTATATACTATGCATTCCTTTAGCTCTGGGAAAGTGGTTAGTTTTACAGATAGAAATCTTGTGTCTTTTGTTAACTTGGAAATAACAAAATGGAGTCTGCTCTGTTCAAAAGTGACTCAGCATCTACACTTTTAATTTCTATCATAGCACAAGATGTCTGCCGATATAAATTGTGGCGGAACCAACCTCGCCACTATGCACTGGAGAAGCCTGGTTGCCAGCCTCCTGCCATGTGACTATGGCCCCTGGGATGTATTGCCCTTTAAAGACATGATTTGGGCATAATGGATTTGTGTTGTGCTACTGCTGGCCCTTTAAGAACCATCTGGGGACATACTGTGGAGATACTGGGTGGCCACCATTTCCTGTATCAGAGGCACATGGTGAGAACAATGGATGGCGGCCATTTTAACTCACAGACACTGTTTGGACTTTTCAACACGGTGCCATCTCGCCAGTATTTGGTGCACAGAGACATCGTGCAGTGGTTTTGGACTATACAGCAGGGGACACATTATACAGTGATTGTTTTTCATTTAGCCTGTATATGTTCTGCAGAATCTGCATTAAACTATATCTTCCAAAGTACTGAACGGATCTGGGTGAATTTTATGGGGTTATTGCATGTTTTGGGGTCCCTGTGATGTGTTTTATGAAACTGTATTTCTCTGTCTGTGATAATTAAATTACCCATTGTGTAAGGTAATTGTATTACAGGCAGATGGGGAGGATTTTGTGTGGGAGTGTCTTTCTGTAATGTACGTGTGTTATTGGTTGTTCTGTAAAACCCTGTGGGCAGTACTAAATTTGTGGATTGGGAATAAAAGAGGCTGTATGTGACAGTCCAGTGAGTTCCTGTTTTAACCCTCAAAGTGAAGTGTGGTCTCATTATTGGGGGAAGGATTTATTGTATGCTGTTCCAGTTTGACTGCTAGGAGAGTGTAACGGACCGTTTTGCACAAAAGGGGAAAAAAACGTTTAGGCGATCGTCCCCCTTTCCAGAGATACAGGCACAGCTACTGCAGAACACCAAACTCTTGAACTGGATACAAAATAGCACTCCAACTCCCGAACTGGAACCTCCCAAATAGCTGCTAGCAGACGAACAGGAAAAGCAGACAATAAGCTTACACTCCTGGCAATCAGTCTCTAACAGCATACAGTGAATCCCCCCAAGAACGAGACAAGGCTCCGTGTTGAGGGTCAAGCAGTGGTCTGAGGTGCTGGCACACCCAGCCTGGTTTTTATTACAGTCTTGCAAATACAGGACCGCCCACAGGGAGGTATAAAACAACCAATCACATCACAGTTACATCCCACATATTCCCTCCCCTTATCCTGAGAGGAAACTCAATTACACATACAGTTAAAACATACTTTCTACCCAACTTTCATAACTCTAAAACCATACATCACATTCACATAAAATTACATATTCACAATCAATCCATTCAGGGGAACAACATATTAAAAATGGCATGAATCAGACCAGGGGTTCAAAAGTTAGTAAAAAGTCCTTTGTGACTAAATGAAGCATGGCTTTCTGGCCCAAACCAGTTTCAGAGTCTTCTATCCTGGAGAGTAATTCAATTATCTCCCAGGACAGACACAAGACTCCATTAAGCACATGGTTGCAAAAAGACACAAAACACTTTAAAATACATAAAGTAACATTTATTACATAAAACACAGACATGTAACATATCCCCAGATAGCTCAGGTCTGAGCGCACATTATTAAGTGAATGGCGCTCAGACCACACAAATACAGTTTAATCGCCATGGAGCCAAAGTCTTTACAGTCAGTTTCATACGAATGGGCTCCATGGGATTCCTATCTGGGGTATAACACATTCAAACAAATCTACCGAACCCCAGGCAGAAAAGCACGAATGAAGCTTTTCTGCAGGTAAAAAAGATGTCTTTTAACAGGGGGCCATAGTCCAAAGGCAGCAGGCGAGCAACCAGGCTTCTCCAATGCAATGTGGCGAGATTGGTCTCGTCACAGAGAGTAAACCTATTCGTATGGTTCCTAGTCAACTGTCTACAGCATTCATATGCTTGGGAGAATTTATTTGTTTCTCCGGTTCGGTGATTGTGGTGTCTGCCAGAGTGCTTGGAGTCCTCAGGAAACGCTAGGAACATCCTTTAATGGAGGTACCCAGTCGGGGTTCAGGGTGATCCGCTACATAAATACTCTGACAATATATTGGCCCCTGCAAGGTTCTACGTAGGATCAATCCTGTGTCCTACGCTTTGGATTTACCCAGGAACCTTCGTATACCCAACGTCTTCCACACCTCTCTCCTGAAACCATTGGTTTGCAACAGTCATTCTAGACCCCGTACTCGTCCTCCTCCTGTTTTAGTCCATGGTCAGGAGGAGTACGAGATACGACACATCATCGATTCTCGTGTCTCACATGGATCGCTTTAATACTTGGTCCATTGGAGGGATTATGGACCTGAAGAACGCTCTTGGGTTCCTGCTTCTGAGGTCCCACTGTTTCCAACAGGGGTGTGCGCGGCGTGTCGCGAAATGCTTAAAAGGACAGCACAAAGGTATTACTCTCTATTTATATTCTACCCTATTCTATCCCTAACCTATCAGAGCCTACCTAGCCCTATTTATGCCTCCTTCTTACATCACTTCCTTGCCCTGTCGTGGTTTCTTGTAGCCCGATTGTGCGTTTTGTTAACTTGTCTCTTTGGTATCTGACTTCGGCTTGTCTTCTGGTTATTCTTATCTCTGGCTTCCTTGACCTTTGGCTTTATTTTCCGATTACGTTTCCTGCTCTAACCCTGACCTTGGCTCGTCTGACGTTCCTATTTTGTATTTCTTCTCCACGTTAAGTCCGATCACTTTAAGGACCGGTAATACGTTTACCTGGGGTTGCCTCTCTTGTCCTTTAGTTTGCGTGTTGGGGAGCTCAACCTTGACAGGTACTGGTCCCTGGCCATTTTGTCCAGGAGCTCGTCTATCTGGGGCATAGGGTAGGCATCGGAGATAGTTTTGTCATTGAGCCTCCGGTAGTCTACACAGAAATGGGTCATCACGTCCCGTTTCAGTACTAGAACTACTGGGGAGGTCCAGTGGCTGTCGGAGTGTTCTGTCACCCCTAACTGTAACATTTCTTCAATCTCCTTATGCATGTTCTCCTTTACGGATTCTGGTATGCGGATTCTGGGGACATCCCAGACACACAGTCAAAGAGGGGTCTGCCCTGGGGTTTCTACTTTGGGGGTGGCCATTGGGGTATACCCAGGAAGATTAGAGAATGTGGCTCCTTTTTCCTTGATTAAACTTTCAACTTGTGCTCGCTCCTGGGGACTTAAGCACTCACCTAACTGTACCTAAGGTCTCCATCCTGGCCCTCTTTCTCTAAGAGTTCTGGGAGAGGCAAGTTATCAAAGTCCTCAGTAGCTGGTGCGCAAATAGCAGTCACCTCTTCGTTACGCTCGTGGTAGGGCTTTAGCATATTTACATGGAGCATGTGTTTGCCCCCTGTGCCAGTGTATGGGCCACATAGGTGGTATCACATATCTGTTCTACCATCTTGTATGGGCCCTGCCAGGAGACCTGCAGGTTGTCCTTGTGGACGGGCCGTAGGATTAATACCTTCTGCCAAACCTGAAAGCTGTGGTCCCTGGCCCCCTTATCGTACTACCTGCGCTGTCGTTGTTGGACCGTCTGGAGGTTGTCGCGCACGGTCTGGGTCAGAGCCTCCAAGCGTTCCCTAAACTCCAGCACATATGGGACAATAGGGGTACCATTAGTGGTCCCTTCTTCCTCCCAGTGT